GATGCAAATCCAATTTTGCATATCCAAACACAACACTCTATACAACATAATAAAATAATAATAATAAATAACCATCCATACTCTTGAATTAAAGAGGCCTAACGATTCAGCATCAAGGCAGTAGCGTTATTTCTAATCTATGCTTTTCTATGGAGAAGTTGGGGGGGGGAGGAATCAAAGCTTTGTATATGAACCTCAGGGAAACCGTCATTAAATAAACAGGATTTTTTAAAAGTTTAAACTTACAACATGTCTGCTTATTTAAGAAGATACCACATTCAGATGCATTTCTACTATTCAGAATACTGACAGGGATGGTGTGAATTGTGTGTGGTTGCCCTTGGAACAAATTCATTTAAAAGTAACATATTATAATGGTTTCCATTACACAGAAAATGAATACAGAATTAAGTTAACCTGTATATAGTGTCTGCCAGCCATCACTTTCCTGGCACCAAGAAAGCCAAGAGAAAGTGGTTTTTCACACCAGAGGAAGATAGACACTTTCTCAAAGCTTTTCAAGCAAAAGAGAAAAGCATTCCATCTATGACAGTGGCTCTCCGCTTTTGTTCTGACTTTAAACGACCTGTAGTCCTTCAGATAGAAGAAATGAAGAGAGCTATACAGGCAGCCACAAGGCAAGTGCTCTCCTGTTTTCAATGTGTATGAAGTTGTATTAGTGTTGCCCTGAATTAAAACAAACAGCATAACACAGATTTTCTAGACTTGTAACTTTAGATGGCTAGCCAAATAAAATAGAGACAACACACACAAGCAATTAGTTTGCTACTTGAGTACTTGCCCAGCAGCAACTGCTACTCATTACAGGTGAACAGCAACTCATTTGTAGTCAAGCACCAGTTTCAAACTGATTATCCAAAGATTCAGAAGTTATGGTTGTCAGCTCCTCAGGCAACAGTGAACTTTAGCAGATATAGCCCTGGGCTCACATCTGTTAGACCTGCATGCATGTCCTACCTCTGCCCACATACAAACTGCAAGGCAGTGATGAAGGGCAAAACAGAAGTACACTGAAATTTTAAAGCAAGATGTAAACAAGCACTAGGGGCACCAACGCACTACAACTTTAGAATGCTCTCATTTATTTGGTTTGTAGTTTTACTATATTTTAAGGTGGTCAGTCAACCAGCATTATAAATCAAACAGAGATGCAAATTTCCACTGCACATCCAGTGGAGATGCAATGTTCTATGGCATAACACCAATTCTAGTGCAGCATCAGCATGTTTCTCAGTTCTCAGTGGGAGCACATTTTTAAAATGTATTCATGTTATACTTGTTGAACTAGTTAGCTTCACCCTACTGCAACTACTCTATTAGACCTGTGGAGATTTATGTAGCTCTTAGTATTATTTTTCAGTCTTTTTTTTGTGCACACCAATATTTACCTGTGTCGATCATGACCAAAACCACAGGTTTCTCCTGAAATTGCCTGCAATTCAGCACTGATCCTCTTGCTGTCACTGTAACTAACTAAGTTAATCACAGGCTAAAGGTAAAGGTTCCCTTGCTCGAAAGCCAGTCAAATCCGACTCTAGGGTTGCGGTGCTCATCTCCGTTTCAAAGCCGAAGAGCCAGCGCTGTTCGAAGACGTTTCTGTGGTCATGTGGCCGGCATGACTAAACACCAAGGCACACGGAACGCTGTTACCTTCCCACCGAAGTGGTCCCTATTTATCTACTTGCAATTTCTTGCTTTCGAACTGCTAGGTTGGCAGTCACAGGCTACACCCCTAGTAAAGTTTTCTTTTCAGGGAAGTGGAAGACCCTACCTCAGCTGCATATATGGAGACTGTCTCCATAGAACATCTGTACAGTTTGTTTGTTTTTACAACAGCCTAGGAGGGTTGCAACCAGTGTTCCCTCTAAGCTGAGTTAGTGTGATCTAGCTCACAGCTTTTTAGCCTCCAGCTCACACATTTTTGTCTTAGCTCAGGAAGGACGGCTCCAGAGCAAACTAATTGATGCAGTCGCCAAATCACCTGCTCACAGTTTTAATGCCAGTAGCTCACGAAGTAGCATTTTTGCTCACAAGACTCCACAGCTTAGAGGGAGCATTGGTTGTAACCCTTCTAACAAGGATGATCTACCCAATTCTTTCTACTGACTACTGAATACCAGTGTATATAATAAAAGGGAAACTGCTGACACACAAACCAACAAATTAAATACTTTTCATTGTGTCAAAAGAGGGCATTATAATCTTTTAAAAATACAGTGTTCAGCCACATACACCCCTTTCCCCCTCCCCTAACAGGATGTCTGGCAACCCTATAATTGAGAGCAGGGAAAGAAAACATCTCGGGTGAGTGCACGAAGAAACAAATGAATGCAAGTCACCTCAACATTGCTCAACTCAGCAAACAATCAGAAGTTACTGCTCACTGGCACTTTTTTCTCCCTCCCTCACCTCCTCCTCCAAAGAAGATAATGCCTCTTTATAGAGTTCCCCTGCTTTTTTAAAGAAAAGCAAAAAGTACCCTGATGATGGGCCAAATTTTCATTTCTTCTTCCAAACGATCAGCTCATTTTAAAATAGGAAATAAGTCACCAACGTTCATATATTGTACAAATCAGCAGCCCTATGCATATATGCATTTAAACCCCCTGATTCACTTCTGAGTACCCATAAAGGAGCTGTAGTGTAGAATCACAGGAATCCTATGCGACTGATTACCTGGGACTCAAGACCCTTGTTACAGTATGAGGGGTGTGCAATTTTTTTTCTTGGTATTTTTCGGTTTGGCTCCATTGGACCTGAAAAAAATTCAGAATCCCCGAAAAAACTCAGATCCCAATACCGGTAAAGTATTTGGATCCAGGATTTTTCAGAAATCTTGAATTTTTCCTTGTCTAACAGACCCGAACCAAAAAATAGAGAGGGGGGAAAGCAGTGGCAAAGCCACACAAAAAAGCTAAGAGGCAGCTCAGCTGGGGCTCTTTTGGACAGTTCCTTTAAACCGGACTGCCCAAAAAAGCTCACAAGGGAGCCAATCCTGCAGAGAGAGTTCTTTCCGCAGGCTCTGCCTGGCAGCCCAACATAGCCCATCAAGCAGCCAATCCTGCAGACTCTACTAGGGCTTTGCTGCTTAAACTATTCAACAGAACCCGCCAAGGAGCCGATCCTGCAGGAAGAACCCAAAAGAGTCCCAGCCGAGCAGGTGGGGAGAGTGCCCCCCTTTGCTGTTTTGCAGGATGTCTTCTGCAGTCCCTTTAAATACCCTCTGTTTAAAGGAACTGTAGAAGAAAGCCCAAAAACAGCTGAGCGGTGGGAGCAATCTGCTCTAGCCCCTCATATGTTGGTTCAGGTTTGCTGGTAATTCCTGAATATATCTGGGATTGGGGGGGGGGGTTTGGGGAGGAGGTTCTGAAAAATACCAAAATATACAAGAAAAACACTGATAAGGTATTTTTCAGGTATATATTCCATTCAGGTATACTTGAATGCACACCCCTATACAGTACAGTGGTCCTTAATTTATGGGGAATGCTGCTAGCCGCTGCTAGTTATTTGTACACTACTTTAGAAACCCTGTGTTAAATGGATGTGCAATGCACACTTTTTTAAAAAATGCAGTGATTGAGCCCGGTGAGAAAACACAAGCCTACAACCATTTGCCCAAGGGAGGGAGGGACTTCCAGTGTGCTTAAATGGGGCCTTTACACTGAAGCAAGAGTGCACAGGGCTGCATGTTCACACAGATGTCAGGATGAACTTCTATGCACCCGCTCTGAGAGTTAACCCTCACGGCCAAACCCAGTGATACTTTCCATGGCCCATTTCCTCAGAAAGCAAGTGCACACATTCACACGCCATGCTTCAACATAGCTTTGCTCTGCAGCGTTTACCTTAGAGAAAACAAACAAATAATGGGATCCGGCTTGAAAACCTACGGCTTTTGCTGTACTTGGAAGCCCAGCACCCACCACCACCACACCAGAGGGGCTTTCATTTATGCTCATTAAACCATGTTCCTCTCCAGTGGCAAAGCCCCAACTGTGTTTTGCTGTACCTGGAAGCCAAGCACCCACCACCACAACACCAGGGGGACTTTCATTTATGCTCATTAAGCCACGTTCCTCTCCAGTGCAAAGCCCTAACTGCGTTCCAAAGAAGCGTTTAAGCATGTGCGCACAGGGCCACGGCCTTTCATGCTCCGGGAGGACCATGTGCACTGGAAACGGCACTGCGCTCCTCTGATGACTAACAAGTTTTTTTTGGGGGGGGGGGTTTACATGACAGAGAGAGAACAGGGCAGTGTCAAGGAGGCAGTCTCAGGGTCCCCCAGGGAGCAACCGGCCCCCTGACAGGCAGCCGAGTCACGAACAGCGCAGGTTCAGAAACGGATTTCCTCGGGACTCGCTTCCCCCGCCGTCTGCAGTGCGGGCGGCAGGCAATGTTCCCTCTAAGCTGTGGAGTCTTGTGAGCAAAAATCCTACCTTGTGAGCTCCTGGCATGAAAGTGGTGAGCGAACGATTTGGCTGCTGCATAAATTAGTTTCCTCTGGAGCCCTCCTTCCTGAGCTGAGACAAAAATGTGTGAGCTAGCTCACACTAACTCAGCTTAGAGGGAACATTGGCGGCAGGGCCGACCTAAGTCCACCACCCCTTATCCAAGGATCGCTCCGCAGACGGTCGCCCCGCTTGGCCGCTCTCCCACGCACGCGCGCACGCTCGCTCGCCCGGGACCCAGGCGGCGGCTCCCCAACTCCTGCAAATGGGGGGGACCCAGCGAAGCCCCGCGGGGGCCTACGTCCGAGTAGGCTCCCTCGACGAGACTCCAGGCTTGCTGTGTTCCGGGGGGGGTATATTGGTATCATCCGTTTCGCTGCCCGGGCCAGCTGAGCGGAGGCAGCGTGTTCCGGGCCCGCCCGGGGGAGGAGGCCCGGCCCGGCGAGGGCCCAAAGGAGGCCCGTCGGCGACAAGGAGCCTCCCCGGGACGTCGGAGCGGCCCCTCCGGCTCGGCCGAGGCTCCTTTACCTGCGCGCTGTTCACAGCCATGGCGGCCCCTCCCCTCCCGGGGAGGAAGAGGGGGACTCGGCGTCTCCTCAGCGCGCCTCACGCTGCTGGCCCCGCCGCCGCCATCTTGTCTCTTCGCGCGCGCACACACTGAGGGGAGACGGGGAGGGGGAGGGGGGCGGAGGAGGAGGCGGCGCGAGGCCGGGGAGGGTGGGCCGCGCATGCGCCGGAGGGGGGGCCGGCGCGCGCGCGCTCGCACCAGTCGCGGCCGAGCGTGAGCGACCGTCGCACCCTCTCGCGGGAGGGAGGGAAGGAAGGGGAGGGACGCGCTCCGCGCATGGGCAGAGCTGGAAAGGAGGGGGGGACAGCGAGCCGCAAGTGACGCGCTGCGCATGCGCGGGCGGAGGCCGCCGAAGGGAGGGTGAGAAGGCGTTCCGTGCGTGTGCGGCTCTCGACGCTAAAGGGAAAAAAATGGGTGTTTGACGCATGCGTCGCGATAGTGGAGGTGGTGGGGAGAGGGCAGGCGATGCGACGTCTGCGCATGGGCACGCCTCCCGGAGGCAGAGGGAACGGCTGCTTCTGCGCAAGCGCCGACGGAGAAAAATTCACACGCTGGGTGGATGAATGAACGAACGAACAAATGAATTTGCGGGTGGGAGTAGTTTTTTTTTGGGGGGGGGGGTTTGGGGGGGTGAGCGGTGTTGTGCAGCTTCCAAAACGATGGCAATTTTTTTTAAGGAGGGGGAAATCTTGTTTTGTCTATTTAAATAATTACTATTTTAAACTCTTAAATTTTCATAGACCACATCATATCATAGGACATATCATACAAAGTAATATTTTATGAATGTTGTTAATTCAGCCATCGTTATTGTTACATAATAAAATTAGTGGTACCGTCCTCATACCTTTAACCTGATATTAATTTTGCTCGTTGTAAATCAATTTTATGAATTGTTCCTTCCAGTGTGCGTTTGGAAAGCACGTGACGGAGCAACTTTACCGAAATGCATACTGAGTTTGGTGTGGCCGGCGCCTGCATGGGAAATTCACAGGGAAATTCACATACACTGCCTTAATTCCCATGGTGGAAGAACGTGGGAATATACATACAGTTAAATATTGGTATCATCAGTTTTGGTCTGCTGCTTCAGACCAACACAGCTAGTTGTTGTTCAGTCACACAGTCGAGTCCGACTCTTTGCGACCCCATGGACCAGCTCCCGCCAGGCCTTCCGGTCTTCCGCTGTCCTCTGAAGTTTGCTCAACTTCATGTTCGTTGCATCGATGACACTGTCTAACCATCTCATCCTTTGCCGTCCCCATCTTCTTTGACCTTCAATCTTTCCCAGCATCAGAAATCAACCCTGACTGTTCCCTGGAAGGCCAGATAATGAAACTGAAGCTCAAATACTTTGGCCACCAAATGAGAAGGGAACACAGCTAGTACCCACCTGGAAAACAGTATTTTAAAGAAAATCCCGTTTTGCACAACTGCTGGGGGACTGCCCCCCCCCATAAATAGTAAAATTAATACAAATGCAAATAACATAAAAGCAATAGCATTCTCCAGATAAATTGATGGGCTATACAAATTTCTCTCCCTCCCTAGGGTATATCATATACGGCATGGTGAAGACCCCGGCAGAATCTGAATAAAAAACGTCACTGTATATATGTGTGTGTGTGTGCAGAGAAAAATATATATTTGCCCTCCCTTATGGGGTAAGGATAGGAATTGGTCTGTAATTGCCATCTTGTAATAGCTACTGGAATTTCTATAATTTTGACTCTTGCGATTTGATTTGATTGAAGTTTCAATGAAATGTTGTTCATCACCCTGAGCCCTACGTGTAGGAGGGCGGTCTACAAATTGAATGAATGAATAAATAAATATGCACAAAATGTGCTTCCAAGTTCCTTATGTGCCTCACATGAAATAGGATGTCCCTTGTTAAGTAGGTGTGTTGCAGGCCGCCTCACTGGAGAGAGGCTGTTACTGCAAGAACCACATCCCATGCCCTGGCCCCACTGCTGGACCTCCTGATGGCACCTGGTATTTTTGGCCACTGTGTGACACAGAGTGTCGGACTGGAGGGACCATTGGCCTGATCCAGCATTGGCTTCTCTTAGGTTCTTATGCTCCAGCTAGTAAAAGACTGTGTGTACAGGGGTCATTTCCTGCGGGAGCGCACAGGAGCGGAGCTCCAGCAGTAAGGAGTCCAGGGGGAGGGCACATGCAACAAGCCCCGCCCCCTGCTCCGGGAAGCCCTCAGTCAGGCCACAAGGAGCAAGAAGCAGCCAGGTAAGTTGCAGAGGGCCTCCCCCGGCCTACCTTCAGGTACAAGCCCTCCCTCCTCTGCAAGGACAGATCTGCATGTCCCCCCCCCCAAATACCTAGCAATCCAAAACAGTCCAGTGGAGCCTGAGCGGTGGGTGTTGCCTTCTGACACACTTCTGGTGATGTCAGGGGGCGTGGCATATGCAAATAAGGTATGCTAATGAGCTCCTGCACCTCTTTTTCTACGAAATGACCCCTGTGTGGGAGAAAGAACGGGAGCCTACTCGGGTTGCCAGCTTCAGGCGGAGAAATACCTGGAGATTTTAGAGGTGGAGCCTGTGGAGGACACGGTTTGGGGAGGGACATCAGTGGAGTATGATGCCATATAATCCACCTACCAAAGTGGCCATTTTCTCCACCTGAATTGACCTACGTTGCCTGGTGATCAGTTGTAATCCCAGGAGATCTCCATTTGGAAGAATGCAGTGACATGAAATGTTTACTGTGCAGTAATTTGGGACCTGGTGAAGTTGTTACAGTTCCATCTTGGATAAAGCTTTGGTGAAACAAGGTGCTACCACACTGGTTTGCCCCGTCAGCTGGAACTAAACGTGCAGAGTTGCTATTATGAAGAGGACTTTAAGCCTTCAGGGACAGAGGGATTCTACTCACCTGAAGTACCATGGGTGTATGGAGTGGACTCTTAAATTTGGAATTGGATCCTTTGTTCTGTGACTCACGAACTTTGAACTTTCCCTATTGCACAGTTTATTCATATGGATGTCACGATTTGCATTGCAATTGCTTTGTATGGTTGTTATTGCTGATTATGTATATAATTTGTGAGTATTATATTTAGTGCTAACCATTTAGGCAAGATGCCTCAATATTTTTATAATCTCGATATCCCCCTTCATCGTAGAGCTTTTCTTTTGGCCAGGGTTAACGCATTTTCCTCTAGAATACTCTATGGCAGACACCATCAGATCCCAAGACAAGAATGGTTGTGCCCCTGTGGTTTTAACTCCCTGGACACGATTGAGCATATAATTGTCGAATGCCCCCTGTATGAGCTACCTCGCGGTAAATTCCTTTTAACTTGGCTTCATCCTAAAAGTTATTTGAGTGCTAAGTCAAAATGTCAACTTCTCTTGAATGATTTGATCTCTGAAGTCACTAATGATGTTGCCAAATTTCTTACATAAGTTCTTAAGGTACAACATTTTAGTTAATACTATTTTGACTGTACTTAAGTCATATGGAATCTTAGGTTTTAATTTTATAGTACAATGTTTTATATACCTCATGACTGATGCTATGCCGATAAAGGTTTATGAATGAATGAATATTTAGTGCTTTGAATACTTTTGGAGGTTAATTTATAAAGAGGATTTTCCCCTTCTTTCTTTTTGCATTCACCTCATCTGTGTATCTCACTTTTGTCGCTAACCGTCTGGAAGCTGGCAACCCTGGCTCATTACACTGTTCATATTGTGTGATCTGCCTTGGGTCTCTGTGAAAGACGGACTCTGAATAAACACATCCAAAAACTGTGCAGCTAGGTTTGAGTCCAGTAGCACATTGGAGGCCAGCAAGATTTTTCAAAGTATAAGATTTCAAGAGTCAAAATTCCCTTTGTCAGATACAAGTAGGAAAGGAGATCCCCAAGTCCTTATAGGTGTGCAGTTACTGCCAGGGAACCACGCTGACGGCCTTACCCCCACAAAGCACACCAAAATAAAAATTTGGACTACTCTGGTTAGCCACTGAAAACAGAGACCTTGGGTTATCAGGCACTCGAGACAACAGTTACCACGTGAGCAGCATCCACTGCCCATTTCTTTGAAAATAATTCAAAAGGGGTCACCCTGCTGGTTGCTGAAGCGAAAAAGAAACCACAGTCTCGTGGCCCTTTAAAGAAAAACAAAATTTTATTCCAGAATCAGGTGGGGGGGGAGTTTGTTCCTCTTTCAGGTGGCGCGAGACTCTTTTTCTTTGGTTTTCTTTGAAAAAGTAGCGGAAGGAAGTAGGAATAGAGGAACGTGTGAAAGAAATACAGCTGCAATTCTAAGGGCCCTTTCCAGGGGTCATTTCGTAGAAAAAGAGGTGCAGGAGCTCATTAGCATAACTCATTAGCATAGCTTATTTGCATATGCCACACCCCCTGACATCACCAGAAGTGTGTCAGAAGACAACACCCACTGCAACTTACCTGGCTGCTTCTTGCTCTGACTGAGGGCTGCTGGGAGCAGGGGGCGGGGCTCGTTGCATGTGCCCGCCCCCTGGGCTCTTTACTGCCGGAGCTCCGCTCCTGTGCGCTCCCGCAGGAAATGACCCCTGGTCCTTTCTTAGAAATAAGCCTCACTGAATATCAGGAGACTTCCTTTTGAGTCGACCTCTTCCCTGCGATGTCCTCTAGGGTCCCTAACAAAGTTCTCACAATTTTGCCCAACTACAACTAGCAAAATGATGTAGGTTAAAGTGGTATAAAAGAGTTGTATGCTGAGTAGCTAGGCCCCCTAGATCTCAAGCATGTTGCATACAAAATTACCCCCCACTTTGTAAATAGGAGAAAACAATAGCATCTATTAGCCACGGACAAACCTGTCATCATATCCCAAAGTAGCATTTTCACTGAAAATCGTTTATTGTCCAAATTCCTAACTCGCACTCGTACAGTTTAGAAAATGCGTGACCAGCGTCAAGCAGAATGCAGAACAGAATTGCATTTAGCTCAGTATCATTTACAAACACGGTGGGAAAAGTGTATGAAAACTGTCATGCCCTGATTCTGCTACCCTGTTACACGTCGCAGCAGGCCAAAGAAACATCCTTTTTGTCCTTGTAACAACAGGTACAAAACCTCTTTGAAAAACCATCCAAGGGAATTTTTGCGTCATGTTAATTCACAAGCAGTGTTCCCTCGAAGCTGAGTTAGCGTGAGCTAGCTCACAGCTTTTTAGCCTCCGGCTCACACGTTTTTGTCTTAGCCCAGGAAGGAGGGCTCCAGAGCAAACTGATTTATGCAGTAGCCAAATCACCTGCTCACAACTCTAATGCCAGGAGCTCATAAAGTAGAATTGTTGCTCCCACGACTCTGCCACTTAGAGGGAACATTGTTCACAAGTGGCGTAAGTTGTCATCACTGGCGCTGCCTCAGACCCGTTCAATCAACCAAGGGAATGACGGACCTGGGTTTTGCATCACACACATCAAGCTGCCTTATACTGAATTGGAGCCTTGATCGATCAAGGTCAGAATTTTCTACTCAACTGGCAGCAGCTCTCTGGGGTCTCAGGCAGAGGTCTTCCACATCACCTGGTACCTGATCCTTTCCACTGGATTGGATTGAATCTGGATCTCCTGCATGCAAAGCATAAGCTCTCCCACTGACCCACGGCCCCTCCCCACAACCCCATAACCAACTGTGATTGTCATAGTCAGAAAACCCTGCCCAAATAATGAGCAAATCCCTTTCTCACAATACAAGACCTCGTAGGCACTCAATTAAATTAATGAGCAATAGGTTTAGAATAGATAACGGGAAGTACTTCTTCACCCAAAACATGTGGAATTCACTGCTGCAGGAAGTGGTGGCAGCTACAAGCACAGACAGCTTCAAGGGGGGACCGGATCAACATATGGAGCAGAGGTCCATATAGCCACAAGATATAGATGGAATGGAACACTCTGTCTGGGACAGTGATGCTCTGTATTCTTGGTGCCTGGGGGGCAACAGTGGGAGGGGCTTCTGGTGTTCTGGCCCCACTGGTGGACCTCCTGATGGCACCTGGTTTTTGGCCACTGTGTGACACAGTGTTGGACTGGATGGGCCACTCGCCTGATCCAGCACTGGCTTCTCTTATGTTCTTACACAGGTCATGGCTGCATTCGGAAATCATAATAAACCTCTGCTTATGAAAGGCTCGGACACAGCTTGTTTGCAACACCCTGCATGCTCCACCCCTCCCTCTGCTTATGGGCAGAGTGCAACTGAATGCTTCCCAATCTGAGAAGCCTTCAACCAAATTTCCGTTTTCTACGACAGCAAAATTTGGATGGAGGAGACAAGCCACGTCCATGCCCATCACAAACAAGCAGGTTTTCCAGGACGCAGCCTGTGATAATACAGACCCCCCCAAGGCACACACAGGACTCGGCTATTCTGTCCCCTTGCCAATGTGTTGTTATTCATTGCAGCGGCACACTTATCGAGAAAGGCTCCGAGCATAGGAATGGTTACTCACAGTGCACACACCTTGTTCCAGGCCTGAAATGGTGGCATTTGAGTGGAAAGGAGGCAACCACATGATTGTTTTACATGCATACTCAAATCCTGGTTTTTCAACATGCTGGAAAAATAAAACCAGGATTTGCCTTTGACTGTGCCCCTCCCTCCCAAGGTGTTGAGGCCTGCTGTGTTAAAAAAAAAAACCCTGCTGAAATCTTCTCTGATTGGCTGGCTAAGACTCCTCCCCTCCTTGTCACTTCGACACTGTCCTCATTTCCATGACCGGAAGTTTATCAAGTCACAACTGAACCCTATAGGGCAGGGATGTCAAACATGAGGCCCAGGGGCCAAAACCGGCTCACCCAGGGCTCTTACGCAGCCCACGAGCAACTAGTGCAGGGGAGGGAACAGGAGACTCCTCGAGGGGGAATGGGCAGAGCCACTCCGACTGTGGCTTCAGCATGGCGGAACAGCCTCGTCTGCAGCCGTCAAGCAGCGTGGGAGTGTCTGCCCAGTGCCGCACTGCTGGCTCTCCAGTCTACCCATGTGGGTTTTCCTTTGCACACACACCCCACCCCAGCTCATGAGGCCTTGCAGTGAGGATGCACCAATTCAGAGCTTACCAACTGCTGACCCTTTCTACAGTTTATGTCTCCGGTACCTGGCATTACATTTTATGGCACACATGACTTGGCCCGACAAAGCGACATTTATGTCAGATCCGGCCCTTGTGACAAATGAGTTCGACACCCCTGCTGTGGGTTTTCAAGGCAAGAGACACATGGAGGTGGTCTGCCGTCGCTTGCCTCTGCATAGCAACCCTGGACTTCCTTGGCAGTCTCCCATCCAAGCCCTCACCAGGGCTGGCCCTGCTGAGCTTCTGAGATCTGATGTGATCGGGCTAACCTGGACTATCCAGGTCGAGGATGCCACACGCACGGTATCTCAAAGAACCAGCTAAGAGGTATGCAATCACCACCAGGGCTTTAAAAGGGGGGACGGCTGGAGAGTACAAGGTGGGAGCTGTCCAAGTGGCAATTTGAGTACTGTGGTATTTGGCTCCTCCATAAAGTTTACTCACTGTGGAGGTGGGCCAGTCATCTGCTCAGAGGCAGAATGAGTTCGACACCTCTGCTGTGGGTTTTCAAGGCAAGAGACACATGGAGGTGGTCTGCCGTTGCCTGCCTCTGCATAGCAACCCTGGACTTCCTTGGCAGTCTCCCATCCAAGCCCTCACCAGGGCTGGCCCTGCTGAGCTTCTGAGATCTGATGTGATCGGGCTAACCTGGACTATCCAGGTCGAGGATGCCACACGCACGGTATCTCAAAGAACCAGCTAAGAGGTATGCAATCACCACCAGGGCTTTAAAAGGGGGGACGGCTGGAGAGTACAAGGTGGGAGCTGTCCAAGTGGCAATTTGAGTACTGTGGTATTTGGCTCCTCCATAAAGTTTACTCACTGTGGAGGTGGGCCAGTCGTCTGCTCTGAGGCTAGAGTGATGCAGCAGGCAGGATGTCTTCAAAAACTTCCCTTAACGTGCAGAATAGCAAGGCAGGGAACAATTTAGACTTCACGATGCTGGAATCTTAACTACCAACAACCAACTACCAAGGGCTGGCCCTGCTGAGCTTCTGAGATCTGATGTGATCGGGCTAACCTGGACTATCCAGGTCGGGGATGCCACACGCACGGTATCTCAAAGAACCAGCTAAGAGGTATGCAATCACCACCAGGGCATTAAAAAGGGGGATGGAGAGCACAAGATGGGAGCTGCCCAAGTGGCAATTTGAGTACTGTGGTATTCGGCTCCTCCATAAAGTTTACTCACTGTGGAGGTGGGCCAGTCGTCTGCTCTGAGGCTAGAGTGATGCAGCAGGCAGGATGTCTTCAAAAACTTCCCTTAACGTGCAGAATAGCAAGGCAGGGAACAATTTAGACTTCACGATGCTGGAATCTTAACTACCAACAACCAACTACCAACTTCTAACTCAGGGGTGTCGAACTCATTTGTTATGAGGGCCGAATCTGACAGAAATGAGACCTTGTTGGGCCAGGCCATGTGCGTCATAAAATGTAATGCCAGGTAGCAGAGATATAAACTTTATAAAAGACACAAACACAAGGGTGTTTTTTTAAACTTAAAATAAAAACATGCTTAAAACATGAGCACTCTTGCAATATTTTGTTCATTTGACAGTGTCTACTGACACCTTTTGCTCTGAATTATTGCATCAAAACGTCTGTGCTGTTGCAATCTTGAGTATGCTGTTCAGCTGTGTAACTAAGCTGCAAACCTATGATGATGCAGCAGCAGCAGCAGAACTGGAAGAAGCAGCAGAAGACAGCCAGTTCCACTGCGGGCCTGATAGAAGCCCTCTGGGGTCCTGATCCGGCCCCCGGGCCACATGTTTGACACCCCTGTTCTAACTCGTCTATTCCAGAAGACACACCCATTCATGTGGAGAGAGGAAGTTCCACTTGGGCCCTAAGCCTGTCTCTTCAAGAGATAGGTTCCATATACTACCAGTACTTCTGATTGACATAAACTAGAATCCCCAACAGAGCTGAAGGGAATTTTCAGGACAGACACACATTCAGCCAAACCAGGGTCAATTAGTATCGGTTTATTTGCACTCTTAGCTGTCTGTAGCCTTAGCAAGCAAACCTTTGGCTAGAACTTCCATTGCTGCCAACGGTTGCCATGGTCTGCACTTTCTGCTCTTTTCAAATCTTCTAGAGAGCAGCGTAAAGCTATACCGACAGGCTGGGAAAGCCTCTCAAGCACCGTCTTCGGCAGAGTCGCACTTTTCGGAGTCCTTTGAAGTCAATGGGCTTGGAAGGGTGCGAAGCTGCAGAGAAAGGGAAGGTGAAACACGAGCTTCCTGGCAGTCACTGTTTGGCTGTGATTATGCAGTGGAAATCTTATTGTAAATAACACACAATATGACAGGCTGCAGTCTAGGTGTTAGCAAAAAAAGAAGAAAAAAAGTCTGTTTTAAAAAAAAGTATAAAAGTTTCCCGGAAAAAGGTTTTAACAAAAACACAACACCTTGGTTTTTCCGGACCGGTAGGGGAGTCTTTCCCGGCCTTGTCATTTAGGTTCCATCAGAACATTCGCATCGGTACAATGAAACAGCAGTACATGTGTCTAAAGTGAATGTATTACCGATAGATATAGAAGGACCCTTCGGCTCAAAACAAGGGACCGGCAGCCCCAATCCCACAAGGACGTAAGCCACATCTTGCTTCCGCTACCCGGTCCGGCTACTGAAGCTGCAGAGTCACCCAGTGGCTCCGGAACCGTTTGCGTGGTCTCCCATTCAAGTTTAAAAGACTGCGTCAGGAGACACAATGCAACGTTTGATACTCCACGCCCCTGTGGTTTTTAACACGAGTAACTTCTCCCCCTTGCCCCGCCCCTTCTGGATCAAAGCATCATCTGCCACTGAAGACATCCTTCCACCTTAAGGCTCCAGCCGGCCAATGAGATGCACAGGTCTGTGATCTGCTAGAGCAGAATCCAACCCGTTTCGGCATTTATTTATTCATTTGATTGATTTATACCATGCCCCCCCCGCCAAAGCAGACTCAGGGTGGCTTCTCTCTCTGGCCTCCCGCTTCCTGCCAGCACCCCCAGGCTGGTGTCCACCCTCCCTTCTCCACCCACCACCGTCTTCGGCAGATGTCTGGGTAGCAAATCATCCAACTGTCCTTCTCGCTTGGACTGCAGTTAACACTTATCACAGGGTATTCCCCAGCCTGATGGACAGAGACACGTTTGTCGTTCCTCTCCTACAGTTCCCCGAAGCTGTTCCTCAGTGGGCAAGAAAGAAAAAAAAAGAAGAAGAAGACAGGGTATTCATTCAGTCGAGGATTTGTACACATCCGTCCTCCGAGGGCGAGCCATCATCTCCCTTGATCCTGATGGCGCTTGCTCTTCGCCTTCTTCTTTTTGTCGTCCGACCTCGATCGCAGCACACAGACGCAAGCGGAAACCCCGGCGATGGCTTTCGGAAGGTCTGCCCCTTTCTGCCACTTATTCCTCTCTTTGTCGTACACCTGGACCGTTCGGGAGAAGACCGTGTCCTCCCAGCTGTATCCCCCGAGGATGTAGATCTTGCCTTCCCAAACAGCCACTCCAGACTCACTGTTGGCTTCCAGCAGAGAAGACACACGGGTCCACTGATTGCACTGCGGGCTGTAAGACTCCACGGCCAGAATGTCAAAGCGGGTCATGGTCTCCAGGTAGTCGTCACTGCCGCCGATGGAGTAGATGTTCTCCTCCAAGGTGCACATGCTGTGCCAGCCCCGGGCAGTGATCATGGGCCGCTTCTCTTCCCACACGTCCGTGTGATAATCGTAGCAGAGCAGGTTTTTGCGATAGGGACCGATTTGATAATCGTGACCCCCCGAGATGTAGACAAATTCATCGTGGACCGCTCCAGCGTGACCGTAGGTAAACCTAGAGCAGGGAGACAAGAGGACTCGTCAGCCTGTTCCAGAGGGTGGCCGTGTTGCTCTGCAGTCAAAGAGCTGAATTCCCAAGTCCTGCAGCACCTTAGAGACCAACAAACCTTTTCAAGACATGAGCTTTCGCAAAGATCCCTTCATCAGATACAAGTCAGAATGGAGATCTGTGAATCCTTGTATCCCAATCTGAAGGTGGGAGGGGAGTTGCACTTTCAGACTGAGTTATAAGGACTCGGGGATTTCGACTCTGGAAAGCTGATAACCCCCCCCCCCAAAAAAAACAACTTGTTGGTTGCTAGGGTGCTTGTGACGACCCCTTAACTGGGGAGGTCTGGTTTTACTTTAAAATGTTCTTTCTGTTTTGTTTTACTCTGTATATCCGGCTGCCACCAGGAAATTTTAAGGCTTTCCAAACCTTTATAATATAATATTTTTTTCTACTGGGTAGGTAGGTCGGGTCTTTAGGCTTTCAAGGGACTATGTGTTCCTCAGGATGTATTTATTTCAGAGCTGGTATACTTGAATGAAATAGGATTTATTTAAATAAAGCATAAATACGAGGGTAGAACCATGTAACTAGTAAAGTAGGTATAACACACAGTTTGCTCCCTACTTACAGGGATTTTTCATAGGTAACTTTGTAACACTTTTCCTTCAAGTCCATATAATCTTTACTGTTCCCTAGACTCTCAGCTTTCAGCTTATAACTCCTATAACACAGAACTGAATGTCTCTCCTTTCACACACAAATATTTAACTCAGAACTCTTATATCATACAAGACTGCTTCACTCTTTTCATACACAGGACCAACTTATCCCACACAGGGATGTGTCTCCTTCTCTCAGAGACAGACCTTAACTGACTTAACAACTGTCCTCATCAACTGTCTAAACTGTAACTCTTGACTGACATACACATCATCCACACAGCATCACTTCCAAAACCCCTTCCCCTTTCTGCCAATCACCAATCACACCACTTGCCTGTTTCAACCACCCTAGACTATCTCTCATCGCCATGCAATCAAACTTTTAAAGACACACACACACAGTTAAACATGAAATCATTACAGTGCTATTGATCTTATTGATCTGAGCTCTAGACCTCCTTTCAGCCCCAAAGGATACCCAAGCATGTCTTGCACTTGCCTATGTGGATCTGTGCATCAATGCCCCAATAGTTACTATTCATTTATTTAATATACCCTGCCTTTCTACCCAGTGGGGAGCCAAAGCACCTTACGTCTTTCTCCCCTCCTCCATGTTATCCTCAGAACAACCCTGTGAGGCAGGTGAGGCTGAGTGTGACTGGCCTAAGGTCACCCAGCGAGCTTCCATGGCAAGAACGTGGTTTCAGATCCGGGTCCAACACTCTTAATTGCTGCTCTGTAATGGCTCTCTGATACTGGAGAACAAGGACATAGCCACGGTAATCCATGCAATGGACACCTCCAGGAGAGACTACTGTAATTCGCTCTACATTGGCATACCCTTTGTGCCTGACCTGGAAGCTCCAACCGATCCAGAACGTGGCTGCACGGGTCCTTACGGGGACCCTTCATACGGTGCACATTCATCCAGTGCTATGTGAGCTGCACTGGCTCCCAGTGTAGCACCGGATTTGGTTCAAGGTCTTGGTTTTGACCTTCAAGGCTATTAGCTGTCAGGGACCTACATATCTTCGGGACTGCCTCTCCTGATACGCCCCTGGAAGAGTGTAAAGGTAAAGGTTCCCTTGCTCGAAAGCCAGTCAAATCCGACTCTAGAGTTGCGGTGCTCACCTCCGTTTCAAAGCCGAAGAGCCAGCGCTGTCCGAAGACGTTTCCGTGGTCATGTGGCTGGCATGACTAAACACCGAGGCGCATGGAACGCTGTTACCTTCCCACCGAAGTGGTACCTATTGATCTACTTGCAATTTCTTGCTTTCGAACGGCTAGGTTGGCAGGAGCTGGAACTAGAGACGGGAGCTCACTCCGTCATGCGGCACACTCGGGTCTCGAACTGCTGAACTACCGACCTTCCACAGCCTGCAGTTCAGCGTCTTAACCACTTGAGCCACCGCAGCTCCAGTAATAAGAACCTCCTGGTGGTCCCCAGCCCGAGAGAGATCCAGCGGTCCTAGAATAGCAGCAGGGCTTTTTCAGCCATGGCCCCCACCTGGTGGAACTCTTCTCTGCTAGAGAACATCCACACCCTATGGGATCCACACCCTACAGGATTACCATAGGGCTTGCAAGGCAGAGATGTTCCGCCAGGCATTTGGTTGAGGACAGCAACGGTCTAGCACTCACATGATCCCACCACCCTCCCTTTCCTCCATATTCCCCCTCCAACAAGAGTTCAAGATTGTCCATTGTCATAATCCAAGTAGCACCAAGGGATTTTGAAGGGAAATCCCATCCTTGCACTCCATGTGCTTCAACTCACAAAGCAGTCCTTTGTCTCTTCAAAGGACAGCATTTCCAGGTGCAATAAAACAAGCAGGGAGAGCCAGAACAGAGAGCAAGAGCCAGAGAGAGCAAGAGACTCTCTCTCTCATTGGGATCAAACAATTATAGTCCAATTCCAGTCACAAATTAGCTGTGGCCAGTAGCCAATTGTGAGTGGACATAGGTGTGTCCAATTGTTGGTTGCCATAGCTGCAACACAGGAATGGCTAGTAGTTTGGAGGCCACGCCTGCAATCACTTGACCTAGTTTCCAGGTACTTCATGGCCTACGTGACTTGTTGCATGTGAGGCCTAGTGGGGCCTTAAACAGTCTAGCTTCTAGCATGGAATTGTGAAGAATGTGGGTTATAAAGTTGTTCAGGCCATCTGGACCACCATTTGGCTTACACAGGAAATAACACACAGCCTGTTATCAGAAAGACATCACAGGAGAAGGCATGGAGACTTTTAGAAATCAATATTTCTATACAGCAGGTAGATACTGAAATTATCCGTCATCTTGGACAGGGTATTGTTTTTCAGAGGAATTGTTTTAATTTTCTTATGCATTGTATTTTGCCTTTGATGTAAGCCGCCCTGAGCCCGATGACAGGGAAGGACAGCCGAGCAAATTGAAATAAATAAGTAAGTAAGTAAAGGCATTCTGTTTTCAGGGAGCAAAATCTTTTCGCCTCCCCCAGCCTCTGTCTCGTTCTAAGGCCCACTGTGTCCCTTTATCTACCTTTCTGCTTGCCCCATCTCAGCCAGAAGCGTGTGTTAGTTTTGTATAGAGATGTGAAGGCCCGGGAAAAAAAACGGAAAAATTCAGGGGGGAAATGTTTTTTCCCCATTTTTTCCCTGAAGCCTTTTTTGTTTTTTCCCAAAAAACTGGAAAAATTGAAAAAAGAAAAGGAAAAAAATGATTGTGGAACATTTTATTTTAACATGATGACTAACATATTTTAAGACAAGGTGTTCAAATATTTTCCAAATCATTTCTTTTCTTTTCTTTTTTTTCCAAATCATTTCTAAAAAATATGTATGGTATCAGATTGATCTAATTTCAGTGCACTGGGGACAATCAAGTCCTAGGTTACAAACTGAACTCTCCAATGCAAGAACAAGATGCATTTCTTCCTTTAGGGGGTGCTATTGTTACCAGAAAAGAAAAAGATTTCAGTTTTGTTTTTGCATGTGGGTGGGTATTCCATTTCTAATAATTGTTTGGATACACTATATTTTTAATATGCTAGTTGTGATAATTTCATGCCAAGTAAAAATGTCCATAGTCATATTTTATGTTCCTAAAGTAACAGAATGACTTTAAATCTGGAAAAGAAAAAAGAAGTGCTAATGTAGCATTTTTTCAATTTTTCCAAAAATTTCTGTCCCCCCCCCCCCCGGGAAAAAGGCCAGGTTTTTTTTCGAGCTTCAAAATTTCCGGAAATTTTTCATCTCTAGTTTTGCACAGGTAATTTTTCATTAGGAAGGTCATGCAAGTTGTTTTCATGGTGTCACATGACATTGACTAAACACACTTTCAATCCGCTTTCAATGCACTTTGTGATTTTATTGTCAGAAGCGGCAAAAATCCACTTGCTATCGATTGCTACAGTGCATTGAAAGGGGATCGGACGTGCATTGCTTGGCATGTGGGAAACAGCTGGCAACTGATATCCTCAAGGTTACCTCGGCAGGCCTGCGACGTACATCCAGTCATCTCTCTCAGGGTTGTAGATCTCCACAGATGAGAGCGCTCCATTTTCATTCCTCCCACCAACAGCCACAAGCATATCTTTTACAGCGGCCAGATAGAAGTCCACTCGGCGTTGTCTCATGGAAGCTAGCTGCACAAAACAAACCAACATCTTTGAAGGGTCATCCATCATGCTGTGAGATGACCACAGTGGCCTTTTTGTCATAGCCGAAGCCAGGGGATATTCCCTCGGCAGCCTGTGGACCAGATGAGGTTAACAAAACTATACAAAAGGGGACTGTCCCAGGTGTGGATTACCTGCCAATGGCTGAAAAACGGTGTTTTAGAAGCTCAAGAAAACAACACAAATATCTCAAAGGGTCTATGCTCCTTTTAAAACAGGGTGCAACTCCATTGTTACTTTTATTTTAACTCCTTATTCAGTGAAAACAAGAACTCAAGCACAAACCAATGCCATTTGTTTCATCCAAGATTTGGCCCAGAACTCTTAATTCCTAGACATCTTACAGCAGAACTACTGAAATAGTTCCATGAATATTTTGAAGAAGTTCCTGCTAGGCTTTTTCTACTACAAAAAAAGCCCTGAGTGGAGGAGTGGGGAATCAAACCCGGTTCTCCCAGATTAGAGTCCACCCACTTAACCACTACACCAAACTGGCTCTCAAATGTTCAAATAAATAAATAAATAAATAAATATATGTCAAGCAAGAATTCCTTTCTTTCGCTAACATATACTTTACTTGATTTGTTTATATATTAAATTTGTTAATCGCCCAGTCCCTGCAGTGCAGGGCTCTGGGTGATGTACATCATTCATAAAAACATCCAAGATAAAACAATTAAAACCAGGGCTTTTTTTGTAGAAAAAGCCCAGCAGGAACTCATTAGCATAATAGGCCACACCCAACAACAGAAACTCATTAGCATATCCAGCCACACCCCTGACAGCATGGCTCATTAGCATATTAGGCCACACCCCCACGTTACCAGAAGTCTGGTCATCCAGCCACACCCACCTTTTGCTTCTTATTCTGTTTACCTTGATTGTTGTCAAAACCCAGGGCCTTTTTTGTAGCAGGAACTCCTTTGCATGTTAGGCCACGTTCCTGCCCCAAAATAGCCCTGAAAAACATTTACTAAGATATTTCAAACAAGAGGTGGCGAATATTAATTTATCCCATTGCAAGCGTGCCGGCCGCTTTGCGGGCAGGGGGGAAGAGGGTAACAGAGATCTGGAAAGCAGCTGGGGCAGGAAGGGTGCCAGCTATGATGGAAACCGTGGCTGTCCTCAGCCAAAGGCCTAGCAGAACATCTCTGTCTTACAGGCCCTGCGGAACTGCATAAGGTCCTGCAGGGCCCTGATGATGGTATTTGGCAGAGAGCTCCGCCAGGTTGGGGCCACCACCGAAAAGGCCCCGGCCCTGGTCGAGGGCAGCCAGATAACTTTACAAAAATTGAAAGGGAAAATAAATTATATACACATTACAGCTCAAGCCTCACCTTTATCCATTGGTTACACCGAGGGTCATACCTATATAGAAGATTGGACGCCGCGTCGCCCCCATTGTCTCGTGAAAAGCTGCCGCCTGCGACGAAAATAAATCCGCCCAGCACTGCGGCGCAGTGGTGGCTCCGCCTGGCAGGGAGGTGTGTCTCCCTCACCCACTGCCCCCTCTTGGCGTCGAGGAAGCAGGTGTCGTCGCTCAGCTCCAGGCAGTGTTCCGACACCTCCCCGCCGACAAAGAGAAGCTTCTCTTCACTCGCCCGGAGAACGGTTCTCTTGTTCTGCAGGACCGGCTGAGCGGTGACGTTGTTGTGATAGTTGACGGCTTCTTCGACAAAACTCTCGCAGTTGGTCTCTTTGGGGATGAGAGAGCAGATGGCCGGCTTGACCCGGTGCAGGAGGTCGCTCTTGGGGATCAAGGGGAAGTGAATGTTTTCCAAGATCCGGTAGGCCTCGGTCTCCCTTTCCGGATACTGCGTCACCCACTGCAGGGCGGCCTGTAGCAGATCGTGCTCGCATTCCTGTTGGACGTTGTTGCTGGCGAGGTACTGGCACAGCTTCTGGATAGAAACGTTCTGCAGGAAATCCGACGTGAAGGAGAGCGTGCCGAAGTTCCGCAAGATGAACGTGTCGATGTAGGCGTCCAGGTGCCGGAGGTTGTAGATGGAGGCCAGCTCTTGGAGGTACAGGTAATTCTCCTCGCTCACCTCGTTCTCCAGGTACTCGCAACAGAAGTCAACCACCTTCCAGATCTGCAGCAGGTGGGCCGTTTCCAAAACGTAGTCGATATTCCCACCGTCCAGGGACAGGTCGCAGCCGTAGAGGAAATCCACGATGGCTTTGAGGCCGATGTAGGAGGCGCCAAAGAGCTCCACCTCCTTCTGGTAGGCCTCCCGCATGCCAATGGTGAACATGGAGTTGAAGTAGTCACTGCAGACAGCCAGGATGTTCCGATGGGCCGGAACTCTCTGCTCTTCCGCCACCAGAATGATGTCACAGAAGAGGCCCTGGTTCCGCTGTTCGTTCAAGCTCTGAAGAACCAGGCTGGAGTGGTCGGCCCATTTGTACACCTGGAATAAAGAGCCGGCGTCAGAAGCACTCTTGGCTTAAGCAGGTGAGGCTCCGAATCAGAAAGGCAGGTGTGGCTTGGTACCCCAAGAATGGTAGTGGTTTGGTGTCGTGGTTAAGTGCGCAGACTCTAATCTGGGAGAACCAGGTTCGATTCCCCACTCCTCCACTTGCACCTGGCTGGATGACCTTGGGTCAGTCACAAGCTCTGGCACAGCTGTTCCTGAAAGAGCAGTTTGTGCCAGAGCTCTCTCAGCCCCACCTACCTTGCAGGGTGCCTGTTGTGGGGAGGGGGAGGGAAAGGAGTTTGTAAGCCGCTCTGAGACTCCGAGTGAAGGGCAGCGTATAAATCCAATCTCTTCTTCTTCTTCTCTTCTATCTCCATTGCCGCTCCCTGCTTCACAACCGGTTGGGACAAACCAACCAGTGGGGGTAAGCCCAGAAACTAATGTATGATGTAGCTTATTCCCATCACCTCTCATGTCCCTGGTTTGGGTCCCACTATAAGTCCTATGAGGAGAGGAAAGTAAATTGGGTTTATACCCCACCCTTCACTACCCGAAGGAGTCTCAAAGCGGTTTATAATTCCCTTCCCCACAACAAACACCCCGTGAAGTAGGTGGGGCTGAGAGAGCTCTTTCAGGAACTGCCCTTGCAAGACCAGCTCTGAAAGAACTTGTGACTGACCCAAGATCACACCAGCAACTACATGTGAAGGAGTGAGGAATCAAACCCAGTTCTCCCAGATTACAGTCTGCGTTCCTAACCACTACACCAAACTGGAGGAGAAGCTGAAGGTGTTGGGAGTCTCTACGGACACGTTCACAATGTCATTTCAAACCAGTTGTTATCCATCGCTAGTCTGATTCCTAGTAAAACTACAGGGGGACAAAGGTTTCAGACAGCATATTTAAATCCATTTATGAGCCATCTGAAGTGCTCAGCCCATTTCAAACCGTGCCACTTTCCCCCTGCTCTTTTTGACGACAGACCGATATAGCAATTTGATGCTGGCAATAGAGCACCAAATTGCTATACTGGTCTAGTGCTATAGTGCAGAAGTTAGAAGGTTTATGAAAAATAGAACATGCTGCAAAAAAGGTGAGGGGAGGCGGTGCTTTCAGCACACCTCTGACATGTTAAACACCACACTACAGCGATAAACTGATACCTCACCAGTTTATTCATCATCTCCTTATTCCCAAACAGTAGCAGATAACCAGCATCATGTTTTGTTCTTATTTCAATAAACCATCTTTTGTTCAAGTTTATCCCAGAATTCAGTTCTATCTTTCCTCAAGACCACATAGATCCCTGAAAAGCCCAGACTCTGGGTCACATTACCAACAGCAAAGGAGAGAAGGTTTGGAAGTCCTTAAATTCCTGGTGGCGGCAGGAAATACCCAGTTTACAAAAGCAAAGAACACATCTAAAATGAAAACCAGTCCTCCCAAATAAGAGGACGCCACACTCGTTATTAGGGATATTATAGTTTTGTCGTCCCTGTGTTGGTAAGGGTTGGTGGTCCCTTCCGACTCTGAGATTAAATGAATACACACGTGAGGAGCTATGGATCCACAAGGGTTAAGCTGACACTGAATATGATACAAGTACAAAATTTATTCAGGTGTACACATTTTTAAAAAACTTTTTAAGGCTAGATATAGTATATATTTATATGTTTACTGTTGTATAAGATAGGCCTCAGGTAAAGCCAATTATAGTCCACCAATAATTCTGGTAGCATAAACTTGCGTGAGTTGAATGTATGTCACTCCATCCTGTACAAATATCCGGCCTTATACTGCATATGTATTTAACATCTTATGTAAAAGATTCTTTTTGAATGTATCTCAAGTTTGTATTTTGGATTGTGACCACTGAGGAAGTCCCCTAGGTGCCAAAATGCATTTGGTTCAGCTGCACAGCACTAACCCATCTATGTATGAGTGTTGAGAAGTTTTTTTATGTCTGAATGTGAATATCTTTAATGGGTCTAAGTTTTTTAAAAATGTGTACACCTGAATAAATTTTGTACTTGTATCACATTCAGTGTCAGCTTAACCCTTGTGGATCCATAGCAGCTTTGGGGGGTTGAGTTTTCCTTCTTCCCCTCCCCCCTTTTCTTTTCCCCTTCCCTTCCTTTTTTGTCCGTGTACACACGTGAGGAGGCCATATTAGACCATGATCACACCCCAGGTGTAGACGCAGCTGTAAAGAACTTTGGTTCCGTTAAAATTCTGTTCTGATTCAAAGTTTGGTCCGGGCTTCAGATGGGGCCTGTTTGTGAGTTAAACAGAGTTCAAAACCGCCCTGCTGAGAAAGAACACAGTGACCTTGGTGAAGTGCAGATAACACAGCTGCGATGGGGAGTTGGGAAGCTTGGTACCATCTTCCCCATTCGCTGCATTCCTTCCTATTGAGCTGTGATTTGCACCTGTGGGAAAGGGGCCATGCCTAGCTGCAGGTTGGCTCTATGCCTTCCTCTCAGGTCAGACCACCGCTTAGGTCACCTGTTCAGCTACTGGTCCAACACTCTGGCTACGTGTCACCACAAGGAGACCTGATTGGTGACAGCAACAGACTACTGTATCAACCAAGAAGCCGCAGTCTAGCAAACGTATGAAGAAAGACATGCCAAAACCAGACCTTTGACGTTTCACTTATCTTGTGAGGACGTGAAATTCTTGCCTGTCTGGTTCCCTCCATGGCTGGGCCGTTTGTGGTCCTGTGGATGCTGAGGGGGAAAAAAAATCCAAAATCAGCTTTGTGTGAGCCTCAACCAACAATGCACATATGTGACCCATGGGCCAAATGTTTTAATTTTTGCTCAATTTGAAATAGTGTTACGCCTTGCCGTTTGGTTCAGAGAACTTCCACGGCAGCTTACAAACCAAAGCTGCTAATAGTCTCCCTGGAACTGCAGCTCATAATAAGGCCATAGGGTTGCCAACTCAAAATTAGGACATTCCTGGAGATTAGGGGGTGGAGTTGAAGTCTGGGGAGGGTGGCGTTTGGGGACGAGAAGCACCTCATCGGGGTATATTGCCGTAGAGTCCACCCTCCAAAGCAACCCATTTTCTCCAGGGGAACTGATCGCTGTCATCTGGAGACCATTTGTAATTCCAGGAGATCTCCAGGCCCTGGAGGTTGACAACCTTATCTTAGTCAAGCAGCAATGAAAACAGCAAGAGCACAGCAAGCAATGAACTTCTGGAGAAACACATGGGACTTCTCCTGCCATCTAAAGACCAGTGAAGAAGGTGCTACGGGAGGGGGTTCAAAAACAGGAGTGCCACCACAGAGAAGGCCCTGTTCTCCATTGTAATGGAATGGGTCAGAAAGATGCTTTGGTCAAGGGGCAGGGACTGTGGACACTACTACTTGTACTGTCTGGCTCTGTAAGTGTGCTTCTACTAGGGATGCCCAGCCTCCAGGTGGGACCTGGGGATTCCCCGGAACTACAACTCATCTCCAGACTGCAGAGATCAGTTCCCCTGGAGAAAACGGCTGCTTTGGAGGGTGGACTCCGTGGCACTCTGTCCTCCTGGGGTCCCTCCCCTCGCCAGATTCTACCTTCCCCCGGTTCCATCCCAAATCTCCAGGAATTCCCCAATCCAGACTTGGCACCCCTAGGGATGCAGAAGGAAAAATAGCAGAGGAGAAGGAGGAGTCCACATCCAAGTGGTGTCTTTGGTTTCTGGCCTCTTTCGGAGTGGCTGGAAAGGCAAAGCCCAGGGTTGCCAACTCCCATTTGGGAGAATCCTACGGCTTTGGGGGTGAAACCTGGGGACCAACGCTCCCTCTAAGCTGTGGAGTCTTGTAAGCAAAAATTCTACTTTGTGAGCTGCTGGCATTCAAGTGGTGAGCGAGCGATTTGGCTACAGCATAGATTACTTTGCTCCGGAGCCACCCTTCCTGAGCAAAGACAAAAAGGTGTGAGCCCGGGGGCTAAAAAAACCCGTGAGCTGCGGTAGCTCAAGTGGTTAAGACGCTGAACTGCAGGCTGTGGACGGTTGGTCGTTCAGCAGTTCGAGACCCGAGTGTGCCGCATGACGGAGTGAGCTCCCGTCTCTAGTTCCAGCTCCTGCCAACCTAGCAGTTCGAAAGCAAGAAATTGCAAGGAGATAAATAGGTACCACTTCGGTGGGAAGAAGGTAACAGCGTTCCGTGCGCCTTGGTGTTTAGTCATGCCGGCCACATGACCACGGAAACGTCTTCGGACAGCGCTGGCTCTTCGGCTTTGAAACGGAGATGACCACCGCAACCCTAGAGTCGGACCCGACTGGCTTTCGAGCAAGGGAACCTTTACCTTTAGGTCACACTAGCTCAGCTTGGAGGAAACACTGAATCTAAGTAGGGTTACCAATTCCGGGTTGGGAAATCCCTGGAGATTTGGGGGTGGCGCCTGGGCAGGCAGATTTTGAGGAGGGGGGGATTGGGGGGGTAATAATGCCATGAGGCCTACCCTCCAAAGCAGCCATTTTTTCCCCAGGGGAAATTATCTCTGTCTCCGGGAGATCAGCTGTGATTCCCGGTCTCCAGGCCTCACCTGATGGCTGGCACCCCTAATTCTAAGTGTGGTGGGAAGGAGTTGGACACAGGGCCGGCCCTATCACTAGGCCTGCTAGTATCTCGCCTAGGGCGGAGATACTAGCAGGGCACCAATTCCCCTGCCACTGCCCCCGCCAAAAGCCCCCACCCTGCCCAAAGCCGCCCGCTGCTCCTTTCGCCGTATTGACGGCAGCGCGGTAGCAGCGTGCATGCTGCTCTGTGTCAGCCGCCGTGTGCCCATGCCAGCTCCTGGGGAGCGCTCAGTCGACTGCCCGGAAGGGGGCGTGGAGGCTCCGGAGCCCGCCTCCCCGCCCCCTTCCCACGTGCACCTTCCGTTTCTCCGAGGCAGGTAAGCGGCAGTGTGGGGAGAGGAAAGGCACTCTGCATGTGCGCAGAGGCTAGTTCGCCCTGGTGCGACTGCGCTGGGGGAGGGAGCGGCCCATGAGGGTCGGGGGATGGTTTTTGGAGGCCCAGGTCAACTCCCCTGCTCCCAGCAGGCAGGTCCCTGTGGAGGGAGGGAGGGAGGCTCGCCCCTACCTGGCCCGCCCAGCACCATTGGCGGCGCCCACTGCCAATCCCTGCCACTGCTGGGCCGCTTCCTGGCCAGGGACTGCGGGAAGTGCTTGGGCCAAGCGGGGGTTCTGGCTTAGAAAGGCCCCCTGGGCGGGCGGTGGTGGCGGGGAACGGAGCCCTCTCTCGGCCGGCCCTGCTGCTGGGACCCAGCTGGGAGGTCTCCAGGCCCCAACAGGAGGTTGGCATCTGAGGGGGGCGCCACGAGACAGCCTGGCCTAGGGTGCAGAAACCCCTCGGGCCGGCCCTGGTTGGACACACAGTCCTCGGCCTGAAACAAATGCCCCGGGATGGCGCAACTGGGCATCCGGACTGCAGACTTCTGTCTGCCCTCTTGCAAAGACTGCCCAACTCCGCTTGGTGCAATGATAACACTGCAAGCTGAGACAGGCTCCGCTCGTTCGGAGCAGAAAGGTAAAGGTAGGAAGGGGGATGGGGGGGGCCCGGCGCCTATGGATGCCCGGGCTCCATCCTAGGCGAGTGGGAATTTCCCATCATGCCTCATCCCGAGACAGGCCAGGCTGCAGGAGGCAGCGGTCCCCCGGAGGCTCTTACCGCAGGGCTCACGGCTGCCGCGCTTGCATTTCCCTCCTCTCCCTCCGCAGCCATGTCTGATCCAGGAAACGCTGGCCGGAGCGAAAGGGGAGCGCGCCAATGAGAGGAGAGGGAGGCAGGCCCGGAGGGTGGGACCGGCCGAGGCTGGGGGCGGCTCTCGCTGGCGCGCTCTGACGCTCAGCCAAGTCCCTGCAAGCAAACAAGAGAAGCGGCGGCAGCTGCCTCTGCGGCACAGAGGTCAAGGTTCTGGGCATTAAGATTCCGCTCAGGCGAGGGGGAGAGGAGAGGCGGCTTCCTCTGTCGGCTTGGTTGAAATGAACTATTTGAAGAATTCCGGCTGGGTGGGAAAGAAAGAAAGAAAGAAAGAAAGAAAGAAAGAAAGAAAGAAAGAAAGAAAGAAAGAAAGAAAGAAAGAAAGAAAGAAAGAAAGAAAGAAAGAAAGAAAGAAAGAAAGAGAGACAACAAAAATATTTCTAAAGGAGCTCGTTTCAAGCTCAGTAGGGGAGACCAAAAAGATTTCTCTAAGATGCTAAGGTCTCTAAGGTGCTGGACTGGTTGGTGTACTGCAGGCCAAGGTAGCTAATCTCCTGAAACGATCGCCGAAGGAGAATCCAGGGCGAAGCTGCTGAGTCAAGACATTTGATTGCATTCTCCAAAACCCGATCAAAAGTCAGGCATGTCTCAGCCCTTGTGGATGTGTCTTGGCTAGACAAAACTAGAAAGATGGGTGTGGTCACCTGTTATTACTGTGAATGGCCACTGCCTTGGTCATGGTTACTTTTCGGTTTTGCACGATCGTCTTGCCCCTCCAGGTGGGGGGGGGGGCTTCTAACATTTCATAACATTTCGGTCCTGCTATTGAATTTTCTTTTTCTCCTCCATAGCCACACCTGCCGACTGAGCAATCATGCCATGCAATGAATGAAGTAGACTATGGTCCCTAAAAACTTATTTTTGTTGTTGTTGTTGTTCAGTCGCACAGTCGAGTCCAACTCTTCGCTACCCCATGGACCAGATCACGCCAGGCCCTCCTGTCTTCCGCCGTCCTCTGAAGTTTGCTCAATTTTATGTTCGTTGCATCTATGACACTGTCTAACCATCTCATCCTTTGCGGTCCTGTCTTCTTTGACCTTCAATCTTTCCCAGCATCAGGGTCTTCTCCAGTGAGTGCTCCCTTCTCATTTGGTGGCCAAAGTATTTGAGCTTCAGTTTCATTATCTGGCCTTCCAGGGAACAGTCATAAAAGTTATACCACAACAAAAATAGATTAGTCCTTAAGATTAGTCTTTGGAGGAAGGGCCATGACTCAAAGGTGGGGCATTTTAACTGGAGATATTCCCAGTATCTCCAGATTGGTTTCCTCCAGGCATTAATAACACTGCATTTAAACATTGGAAAACTGCCGGCATCACTACTCTCCAAGGCCTCACTGCTAAGAAACTGCTCTTACCTAAGATAACGTTAGAAACCAAAATACAAAGAAGTATTCCCTGGCTGCAGTACCTACAGATCTCTCATATGTGCTCCCAAATTCATCCTGAATCCATACTAAAGGAACCACTTACGGGCCGGCACTTGAGGCGATCATTGCTATTGCCAGCATTTCACGAAAAGGTCCGATCTCTAAAGTACATAAAGTGCTGGTTTCTCTGAAAGATACAGAACTGTTATCAAAATATGTGGCATAAAGCCTGTAACCTCACTCTCTCCGCTGACTCATGGGATTGTATCTGGACATCTCCCCCATTCCACTCCAGAATTACTTCCATGAAACTGCAAAAATTCAAAATACTTTTGCACTGGTATTCTAATTCCTCAAAAGCTGGCACACATGAACCCATCGTACAATCCAAAATGTTGGGGAAAATGTGGCAGCGTAGGAGACTATATGCATTGTTGGATCCTCGGTCTCAAAATTATCCCTTTCTGGAAAGAAGTGCTAGATCAAATCAAATCCTTTGGTGCTATAAATATTGATCTTACACCTGAACATATATATATATATATATATATATTGAACAGTTGGGCTATGGACTGTGGGAGTCTCTACACAGTAGAAAGAATATCTATACTGCTTTTTGTGGCTAACACTGTCATTGCCACACACTGGAAAACAACGATGACACCCACTCTTTCACAATGGCATAAAAAGTTGTGGGATTTATATATCATGGCTAAACTCTCGGACAATCTTACACGTTTTGATAAATGTCCTACCTGCACCAATCTTACTTCAATATGGTTTCCTATCCTAACCTATCTCTCCAAATTGCAGGATATTCCTCCAGTGATGGATACCCTATGGCTCTGGTAAAATGGGTCACTTAGATTCAGCTGTTTGGTAATGTTAATTTTTGCTGTATCTGTATTAAGGCTCTAGTAACTTCCAACCTTATGTTTAGTGATGCAAATGTGTTTGTACAGATTTTGAACATGTCACCTAATAGTATTAACTGTTACTTTTTTGATGCATTGATATAACTCACTGTTTTGTTATTTACCTTTTAATAAAAAGTATTATATATTAAAAAAAAAAGGTTCAGGCAGAAGGTGATGTGAAAGACCTCAGCCTGAGACCCTGGAGAGTCCCTACCAGTCTGAGTAGACAAGACACCAATCTTCAGGAATTTTCTTTTTTCAGAAATATCTATGTCATCTTGGGAGTTCTTATGGGAAAATGCAATGAAAATATCAATATGTAATAATGTAAAAGAGAATTGTTTTAAGATGATGTATAGATGGTATATGACACCGAAAAAAATTGCAAATATGAATAGTAATATGTCTAATGTGTTGGAAATGTAAAAAGGTAGAAGGCTCATTTTATCACATGTGGTGGACATGTGAAAAAGCAAAACTGTTTTGGACTGAAATACACACAGAAATGGAGAGAATTGTAAAATGTAATTTTAAGAAAGAACCTGAAATATTGCTTCTAGGTCTTAAAATGGAAGAAGTGAATATGACAAAAAAGAACATTGATGTGGTATATGATAACAACGGCCAAAATGATATATGCTCAATGTTGGAAACAAGACGAAATACCGGAAATTGGACAATGGATTCAGAAGTTACTTTGTATGGCGGAAATGGACAAATTGACGAGAAAGCTTAATAACAAACCTGCAGAAGAATTTTTTGAGGACAGGAAAGACTTTAAGGAGTATCTGAAAAAAAACTGGGATCTAAGTAATAATTTGCTTTGCTTTGAGAATTATTGAGAGAGTAAGAAAATTTAAATGTGTAACAATTAGAAAGTACGTTACTGGTAGAACTTTATATATTGAGAAGAAGAAGTAAGGGGTAGCTAAGTAGGAGTAGGAGGTTGGAGCACTGTGGGAAGCCAAAGAGGGGAGGGGGAAAGGAGGAAATAAATATAAAATGAGTAAAAATTTGTATGTTGTGTGATCATGGAATATATCCTAATAAAAATTTGCTTACAAAAAAAAAGGAATTTTCTTTTTTCTTTTTTAAAAGTTTTTTATTTTATATTAGACAAACAGACAAACATAGATACATACAATCCAGGGCTTCATATAAATCTTTGGTTTAAGCATTAAATGTTTAAATGTTACCCACCTGAATCACCATGCTTTGAGAATTATTGAGAGAGTAAGAAAATTTAAATGTGTAACAATTAGAAAGTACGTTACTGGTAGAACTTTATATATTGAGAAGAAGAAGTAAGGGGTAGCTAAGTAGGAGTAGGAGGTTGGAGCACTGTGGGAAGCCAAAGAGGGGAGGGGGAAAGGAGGAAATAAATATAAAATGAGTAAAAATTTGTATGTTGTGTGATCATGGAATATATCCTAATAAAAATTTGCTTACAAAAAAAAAGGAATTTTCTTTTTTCTTTTTTAAAAGTTTTTTATTTTATATTAGACAAACAGACAAACATAGATACATACAATCCAGGGCTTCATATAAATCTTTGGTTTAAGCATTAAATGTTTAAATGTTACCCACCTGAATCACCAAGTAAGAAGAAGAGGAGGAGGAGATTGGATTTATACCCCGCCCTTCACTACCCAAAGGTGTCTCAGAGCTGCTTACATACTCCTTTCCCTTCCCCTCCCAAAAACAGACACCCTGTGAGCAATATTCCCTCTAAGCTGTGGAGTCTTGTGAGGAAAAATTCTACTTTGTGAGCTGCCGGCATTAAAGTCGTGAGTGAGCGATTTGGCTGCTGCATAAATTAGTCTGCTCCGGAGCCATCTTTCCTGAGCTAAGACAGAAATGTGTGAGCTGGAGGCTAAAAAACTGTGAGCTGGCTCACACTAACTCAGTTTAGAGGGAACACTGCCTGTGAGGTAGGTGGGGCTGAGAGAGCTCTGACAGAAACTGCTCTTTTTTAAGGACAGCTCTTATCAGAACTATGGCTTGCCCAAGGTCATCCAGCCAGGTGCAAGTGGAGGAGTGGGGAATCAAACCCGATTCTCCCAGATTAGAGTCCAGGCACTTAACCACTACACCTAACCACTACACCAAACTGGCAAGAGTATTTTGCATTATAATTAGATATACATTTTATTATTTATTCTTATATAATTATTATGTCAATATTGTTCATTTATTATAGTCTTTTAACCAGGTGTAACATCTTGCCCATGTGTATTCAAAGCTTGTTTCATCTCAACCTCTGAGAATTAAAGTCAACCAATGGCCACCTGACCTTTTCAACTGCCATAGGATTAGTCATCATTTTTTTGTTGTTTAGTCGCACAGTCGAGTCCAACTCTTCACGACCCCATGGACCAGATCATGCCAGGCCTTCCAGTCTTCCGCCATCCTCTGAAGTTTGCTCGACTTCATGTTCGTTGCATCTGTGACACTGTCTAACCATCTCATCCTTTGCCGTCCCCGTCTTCTTTGACCTTCAATCTTTCCCAGCATCAGGGTCTTCTCCAGCGAGTGCTCCCTTCTCCTTTGGTGGCCAAAGTATTTGAGCTTCAGTTTCATTATCTGGCCTTCCAGGGAACAGTCAGGGTTGATTTCTTTTAGGATGGACTGATTTGAATCATAGAGAACAAGAAATATTCCAGGCCAGCAGGGGGAGACGGCTGCCTCTGAAATGCA